GAGAGGGGAGGGGAAGGGAGGGGGAGAGGAGGGGAAGAGGAGGGGAAGGGGGAGGGGAGGGGAGGTTAGGTTCTGACTTACTGGATAAAGCTGTGGAGCATACGCAATCTTTCTGAACTGATCACATCTATAGCACCAATTCTCTGCTGATGATTCTCTCACCTTACCCTCTGACCACATCAAGAAGGCCTAATAGATCCTTTAGAAGGATTATGCATAAAACATATAATCCCCACTTATCCGATGAACACCTACAATCCTTCCAACCCCAGGTCTAGTATCATCTCTTCTGGGAGACTTTTTCTGACCAACCCCAGAATTCTTACTTCCTTCTTTATTAGCTCCTCTCTCATGTCCCTCTACTGTATAATCTTCATTACCTGCCTCATAAGGATTATGACATAACACATATAAAGTACTCAGATTAGTGCTTAACACAGAGTAAATGCTAAGTAAATTTAAGGCTAAACATGGTGGTTCATGCCTGTAATCCCAGTACTTTAGGAGGCCGAGGCAGGAGGATCACTTGAAGCCAGAAGTTTGAGACCAAGCCTGGGCAACACAGTGAGACCCTTTAAAAAAAAAAAAAGCCAGTTGTGGTGTCATGTGCCTGTTGTGCTAGCTACTCTGGAGGCTGAGGTTGGAAGAGAGCCCAGGAGGTAGAAGTTCCAATGAGTGACCCATGATCACACCACTGCACTGCAGCCTGGGACACAGAGTAAGACTCCCTCCCCTCTTAAAACAAAGAAAAAGTCTCTTAAAAAAAAGAAAAAGTTAACTATTGTTATTATTACCACAATACTTTGCAATTGTTTGTATAATCTCTCTTGCTAGACTATGAGAGCCAGAGGACAGACAATCATTTATTTGCCATTTGACCAGTCCCAGCAGTCTGGCATACATTAAGCAGTAACAAGAAGTTCTAAGTAAATTAGTAAACAACACCTCGATTTTGGAGAAAAGTTATTTTCTTTGATAGCGTAGGATCCTTTATGTTAAAAAGAAAATGTTAAAGATAAAAAGTGGACTGCTCTTCCTGTTTTTTGATTTGGTTCAAATTTGAGGAAGGAGTGAGCCATCTTTTAACGATTTAGGAAGACAGTCTACCTTTTCCCACGTCCCAGAAAGGTCAACACCGTATGCCCATGACACCGCATGCCCAGATGCCGGCATTTTTTGAAGAGGGGCAGGGGAAGGCAACACCTTTTGTCTAATATGGGGATGCAGTCCGATATCACCAAACGGGGCATCACCTCGCATCCATTTGGCCCTGAACCTCACATAGGAAACCCATCGACTTCCTTGATAAAACCACAGCCCACACTTGGACCCAAGGATGGAGGAGGCCCGCGCGGGGTGAAAACGCAGGGCTGCGTTGTCCAGCTGCCCTCCCCAGAGTCTCGGTCCCCGACAATTTGGAAGGACGGCGGGTTTCCTCCAACGCAGGGTTGCGACGACTGAACAAGCTGCCCTGAGTTAGTCCGAAGGCGCTGAGTACCCGGACGACCGAGTCCACAGCCGGAGCGGTGGAAAGACGCTTCAGGCAGGAAAGATGGAGTGCACAAACGCCAAACGCGTAGAGATGGAAAGAAAAAGCGGCGAGAAGGCGGGACAGTCAGGGACCCCGCCACTTCTCGCCCCCCGTCGCTATCTGGAGCGTTCTCTGCCAGGGAACCGCCCCGCGCGGCTCACACGCCTCTTCCCGCTCTCACACGGCGCG